AGGGGAGGGACGGGGGTGGGGAGTTGGGGAGAGACAGCATGGGGAGAAATGCCAGATATAGGTGATAGGGAGGAAGGCAGCAAATCACACTGCCATGTGTGTACCTATGCAACAATCTTGCATGTTCTTCACATGTACCCCAAAACCTAAAATGCAATAAAATAAATTTTTTTAAAAAAAGAAAAATACAGTCAAAGTCAGTACTTCATGCCTTCTATTTGAAAAAAGATTCCACATGGATAAAATATCTGAACGTAAAAAGAAACCACATAGTTTTGGCCCAACGATGCCAATACCTGATTATAAAGTTCTAACAATGCACAAATATATTTGCACAAAGTTTCTTATTGCATAATTGACTGTCATAGCAAAACAATGAAAATATATTCTGGTACAGCTACACATTAAAATGCTATGAACCTGCAAAAAGAACACTAAAACTGTTAAAGAGCTAATATTAGATCATTTGCAGCTTAGCATGAGGTTAACTTTTTTAAAAAGCTAGGCACATATGTTTGTATACTACTGGTAACTAAATAAGATAATTTACTACTGGTAATAAAAAATAGAATATGAGACTACAGGTATGAAATATATATATATATATATATAAATTCATACAATCATATTATATATGTATATATCTATATGTGTGTATATATACATGTATGAATGTATATACATACACATACACAGATATGTATATGTATGTAACATTCATACATGTATATACTCATATAAATACAAATATATGTGTATATATACATTCATAATATGTATACCTACACAGATAGATATATCTCTCTATATATCTGTATGTGCAAATACATATATACACACGTCTACATATGTACATATGTGTATCTGGAAGCTACTATGTAGGTATGCATAGTAGTTTTGTCAAAAAAGTAAATACCATTTAATTGGATTTAATACCTTTTGCCAAATGTAAAGAAAATACACAAGGGCCATAAACAAAAAACTAATGAAATTGCCTACTGGCAATGGTGAGTAGAAAGTAGAAATGGAATGGCACAGAAGCGAGAGAAAAGGACACTTCTCTGAATTTACCCTTTCATATAGTTTTGATCATGATCCAATGTTAATGTTTTAAATATTCAAAAAATAGCATCTAGAAAGATGGAAATAAAAACAGAAATATGTCTATGTATATATCAAATGTATACCATTAGTAGAGAGAAGGAAAAAAAAATCCAGATAATTTTGGATACAATTCTCTGACTGTACATACTCTCATTAGAATATATTTTAAGACTAAAATAACTGTAAATACATTTTAATCTTTATAGTTTTATTGTTACTGTTAAGTTGCAGCAGTTTGAAATTATGTTGTATGCATTGGAGAACTGAGAAAATGATCAAATATATTGATGTTACCTGAAACCAGGGTTCTCATTGTGGGAGAAAGGAGATAGAAAAATGAAATACAGAAGAGGAAAATTCTGTGGTATTAAATTGGGTTAGAGGAATCAGTAGTTATTCATGATAAACACATGAAAACACACACACATTGCCTAGTTTTTTTGTTTGTTTGTTTGTTTGTTTTTGAGACAGAATTTTGCTCTCGTTGCCTAGGCTGGAGTGCAATGGCACAATCTCAGCTCACTGCAACCTTCACCTCCTGGGTTTAAGTGATTCTCCTGCCTCAGCCTCCCCAGTAGCTGGGATTACAGGCATGCGCCACCTTGCCCGGCTAATTTTTGTATTTTTAGTAGAGATAGGGTTTCTTCATGTTGGTCAGGCTGATCTCGAACTCCCAACCTCAGGTGATCCACCCACCTTGGCCTCCCAAAGTGCTGGGATTACAGGCGTGAGCCACTGTGCCCGGCCTGTCTATTAACTGAAATGGAGTAGAAATTAGGAAGTGCACAGAAATTCATGTCTTTCTCTCTAAAATGCATGATCCACATCTAATCAAGACAAACCAGACAAACCTAATTGAGGGGCATTTTATGAAACAGTTAATCAGTGTTCCTCAAAACTGCCAAGATCATTAAAGACAAGAAAATTCTGAGGAATTGTCTAGAGGAGGCTTTGGGAACATGGTGACTGAAAATAATGTGGTATCATGTGAGATCCTGAAACACACGAAAAAGGTATCAGGTAGAAAACTAAGAATTTGTAAAGAGAGTACAGATTTTAGTTCATAGTAATGTATCAATATTAGTTAGATGGCTGTGACAAGTCAATCATACTATTGCACAACGTCAAAAGTGGAGAAACTGTGGTATATGGGGACTTCTATCTTGATAACTTTCGCTAAGCTCAAAAGTATTCTAAAATAAAAAGTTTACTCAAGAAAAACCTAACTCCTAGCCTAAATTCAAAAGAAAGGATAGTGGTGGTGGTGCTAGGGAGGATCTTTTCAACTAATCTGTGTTCCACAAAAATACAGATGTGAAAAATACAAATGTATAAAATAGCAATACCACTACACTATATTGCACAATTGTTTTCATTAGTAAAAGCCTATCTAAAGACTTTACTAATAGTCAAATGTTTAAAATTTCTTAATATAGAAAAAAAAGTATTGTCAGAGAAAAGGTTTTAATTGATATATTCTTTTAGTGTGCAAGTATTAAATTTTACAGGTTAATGCTTCCTGAAAACAATTTGATCGTGTATTGTAATGACTCTTTTATCTGCATCAGATCTATTTGAGTTATTTTAATCCCAAATTCCTTATGTCATTTTGGCAAGTGTGATCCAAAGAAGAGAATGCATGACAATTGAATATGCTTATTGTATGTATTTCTTTTTGATTATGGTAACTGATTCTAAGCCGTCATTAAATTACTTAATGAATCATATATACATTTATATCCTAATATTTGTTGTAATCACATAGCACATTTTAAACCAATGAAAATATGCTATGGTTTACCAAGTTTAAAATATAGAATCTTTTTTTTTTTTTAGACTTCTAAATTCAGGAGTATATGTGTAGGTTTGTTACATAGCCAAACTTGTGTCATGAGAGTTTGTTGTAAAGAGAGTTTCATCGCCCCGGTACCAAGCTTAGTATCCATTAGTTATTTGTCCCAACATAAAATCTTAATGTTGATGTGAATTTGTAGTTTACCTTTCATAGTCAAATGTACAGTTTTCATTCATGTAAAAATTAAGAATGTTAGGAATAAAAAGTCACTTTTAAAATGTTTGGTATTATTTAAAAATATAGAATAGTGGTTTCTTTTTAAATTTGGAAAGTAACATATATACACACACACGTAAATATATATATACTTATATCTATATATACATAAGTACATATATACTTATATCTATATATATATAATATACTTTTTAAAATTTTTATTTATTTTTTTGAGACGGAGTCTCACTGTCGCCCAGTCTGGATTGCAGTGGTACAATTTCAGACCACTGCAACTCCACCTCCTGGGTTCAATCAACTCTCCTGCCTCACTCTCCAGAGTATCTGGGATTACAGGTGCATGCCACCACACCTGGCTAATTTTTTATATTTTTAGTAGAGATGGGGTTTCACCATGTTGGCCAGGCTGATCTCAATCTCCTGACCTGAAGTGATCCACCTGCCTCATCCTTGCAAAGTGCTGGGATTACAGGTGTGAGCTACTGCGCCTGGCCAACTTATATTTTTTGAAGAACTTGATTTCCAACTACATTTCTTTTGATTAAAAATATGAATATATGGCTGGGTGTGGTTGCTCATGCCTATAATCCCAGCACGCTGGGAGTCCGAGGCAGGCGGATCACCTGAGGTCAGGAGTTTGAGACAAGCCTGGCCAACATTTGAAACCCTGTCTCTACCAAAAATAAAAAAAATCAGCGGGGTGTGATGGTGCATGCCTGCAATCCCAGCTACTCAGGAGGCTTAGGCAGGAGAACACAAATTTCTCAATGAAAAAAGAGAAAGAGAAAACCTCATGGGGCATGGTAAGAGACACAGGAATCAGTTTTAAAGTGGCTTCCATTGACCAAATTTGGAACAAGTTGAGCATCAAAATGAAAAGAGCAATAGATTATATATCAATATTAAATAAAAAGAAAATAGAAATAAAAAGTTCACATTTAATTTACTACTTTTATAGCTAGTTCTAGTACTTCTCCTACTAATACCTAAATGAACGGGATAAGGGAAAGGGAAAAATTTTTATTTACAGTTAAATGCTAGCTAAAAAATACAAAGAAATGTTAGAAATAGTAAAAATAACCATTTTACAATCAGCATAACAATAACTGATTCATGCAAAATTCATTAAAATATGTCTAAGCTCTTTTGTGAAAATTTGTTTGGAAATAGGATATTTATATTCAGACTCAAAGGCCCCAATCAGTTTTTTTGTTAAATACAAAGAAGAGTTTTTCCTTTGCACCACTTAACCAAGTGATCAAACACATCACTAGTGATAGATCAAAGTGACATCATGTGTCACAGGATGTAATGGTCTGAAAAGGACAAAGCATCATTGATGCAATATTCCTGTCAAATATCTTTAACTTGATTTTATTCATGAGAAAATAAATCAAACAAATTCAACTTAAAGAGCATTTGTAAAGCAGCTGGCTTGGGTGACTCAGAATGTCAATGTCATAGAAGACAAAAATCAAAACACAAGGAATGTGACTAGTAGATTAATGTTCATTATATTATTCTTATGACTTTTCTATGGAATGACATTTTTCAGAAGAAAATATTGGGAAATATGTGTGTCATTCTAAAATCTCCTGTTTTTTGTTGTTCCAAAGGGCCACTCATTTGGTTTTAAATTACTGTTTGTAATATTTGAATTTGCATAAGCCCTTATTTTAATGAAGACACTGGGGTTAAAATAAGGATATTTTAATCCGAGATATTTGAGTTTTTTTTGATTTGTACAGATTTCAAGTACTTTAATTTGTATGTTGATGTTCATGAATCCATATACTTATAAAAATGTTTTTGTTTTATATTCCTTAATATTTATTAGACTTATTTCTGTATGTTTTATGTCTAGATTGTTATCGTGGGAATGGCAAAAATTATATGGGCAATTTATCCAAAACAAGATCTGGACTAACGTGTTCAATGTGGGACAAGAACATGGAAGACTTACACCGGTATGTAAATTTCTTTCTTCTATATATCGAATGTAGTAGTAACAATGGATTGTGTATTTAGATATGTACATTGCTTTTTCTTTCTAATCTTTTCTATATCATGGCAAGCTAATAAAAGCATTGGATTGGTTTTTCTGCACAACTCATCATAACATTGTTTAAAAAGAAGCCAACTTTTAAATATGCAATTCAAGTTAGTGCATATTTATTGAGCATTTACTATGCATTCTGTACTATAATTGGTACCATAGGGAACAGCAACAAAAAGTGGACATATTTTGGTTCCAACCTTCAAGGAGGATATGGTCACATTGATACAATAGTAACATAACTTAATAAGACAGTATATAACTAAGTGGCAAATGTGGTGTTTGAAATAGTGCATTTTATGGGATTATTGTTTTCATATTTAATAATTAATAGTTTATGAAAAACCAATGAATAATCATTCTCATGTATATAATTGAAATATCTAAACTACTAAATCTTAACTATTAAAATGTACAATGGCAGGTTTCCTTATGTAGCTTTGATACATAAAATTTTCCAATAATTACAGGAATGTCTATGTAATTGAAAAATTCTAAAAGTTTAAGAGAATTACAGATTTTTACCATAGATATATTCATAGATAGAGAAGATAGCATCCACTCAGCCTTAGCAATAGTGCTAGTGTTTACAAAATTGCAAAAGAAGTATAACACACAATTGTGACCTAAAACAGATTTTTCATAAACATCCCAGAGTATAGCACTAGACTAAAAGAAAAAAGAATTTTAATAAATGGTGTTGGGAAAACTGGCTGCCATGTGCAGAAAACAGAAATTGGACCCTTTCCTGACATCTTACGCTAAAATTAACTCCAGATGGATTAAAGACTTCAACATAAGACCTAACACCATAAAAACCCTAGAAGAAAACCGAGGCAAAACCATTCAGGACATAGGCATAGGCAAGGACTTCATGACCAAAACACTAAAAGCATTGGCAACAGAAGCCAAAATAGACAAATGGGATCTAATTAAACTCCGAGCTTCTGTACAGCAAAAGAAACAATCATTAGAGTGACAAACAAATCCATTCAAAAGTGGGCAAAGGGTATGAACAAACACTTTTCAAAAAAAGAGATATATGAAGCCAACAGACATGAAAAAAAGCTCATCATTACTGGTCATTAGAGAAATGCAAATCAAAACCACATTGAGATACCATCTCATGCCAGTTAGAATGATGATCATTATAAAATCTGGAGACAACAGATGCTGTAGAGGATGTCGAGAAACATGAACACTTTTACACTGTTGGTGGGAATGTAAATTAGTTCAACCATTGTGGAAGACAGTATGGCGATTCCTCAAGGACTTAGAAATAGAAATTACATTTGATCCAGCAATCCTATTACTGGGTATATAGCCAAAGGATAATAAATTGTTCCATTATAAAGACACATGGACACGTATGTTCATTGCAGCACTGTTTATGCACACAATAGCAAAGACCTGGAACCAACCCAAATGCCCATCGACGATAGACTGGACAAGGTAAATGTGGCACATATACACCATGGAATACTATGCAGCCATAAAAAATGACGAGTTCATGTCCTTTGTAGGGATATGGATGAATCTGGAAACCATCATTCTCAGGAAACTGACACAAAAACAGAAAATCAAACACCACATGTTCTCACTCATAGGCGGGTGTTGAACAATGAGAACACATGGACACAGGGAGGGAAGCATCACATGCTGGGGTCTACTGGGGGTGCTAGGGGAGGGACAGCAGGGGTTGGGGAGGTTGAGGAGGGATAACATGGGGAGAAATGCCACATATAGGTGATGGAGGGATGGAGGCAGCAAACCACATTGCCAGGTATGTACCTATGCAACAATCCTGCATGATCTGCACATGTACACCAGAACCTAAAGTACAATTAAAATATATATATATAAAGTTAAAAAACATAAAATGTATATTCAACTCTGAAAAAAATTTACCTTAGCATAAGTCATATATAACAAATGATCATTTTTACTCAAAAAAAGAAAAAAGTTATAGTCATTTGATCAAGTGCCTATAACATGGCTGCTTTACAAGAGTTATGTCATTTGACCACCATAATCTTATAGGAAAGATTCCTATATGTGGATAGGAATTTAAGGGCTCTGAGAGATGCAGTGACTTTGCTTCAGTCTTTTAAGTGCCTTATTTTCTTCCAAAATGTACTCAATCGTGTATTATATTGTTTTAATTAATTTACTTCACAGAAGAAGGATAGTTCTAAAATAATGCTCTCTAATTAAAGATAATGCAACTCACAAATGTAAGCCACATACGTACTGTTAAATTCCTAGTAGCCACTTTTAAAAAGGTAAAAATAAACAGGCAAAATTAATTTTAATGTTTTATTTATTCCAATATATCTAAAGTTTTTTATTTCAATATGTGTTCAATATAAAAATAATTTAAAATACCTTTTACATTATATTCTCATGCTTCATATTCCAAATCTGGTGTCTGTTTACACTGATAGCACCTATCAATGTGGACTAGATCAATTTCTCAGTAGCTATATGTGGCTAGGGGCTACCATATCGACACTGTAGCTCTAGGACTTCAAAGGGCAGCAGAGTTCTGTTCTCATAGATCTCCCACTCTAGTGTGGGATACATGCAAACAGGAAATGCCATATGAAAACTATGAAAGATAGCATATTTTATGCTTTGGGAATGCAAAGAAGTGCCTACTCAGACATAAGTGGTCAGGAAGGCTTCTTAAAGGAAGGGAAAATAGCCAGGCATAGTGGCTCACGCCTGTAATCTCAGCACTTTGGGAGGCCAAGGCGAGCAGATCACAAGGTCAGGAGCTTGAGACCAGCATGTTTTTTTTACCAACATAGTGAAACCCTGTCTCAACTAAAAATACAAAAATTAGCTGCGCATGGTGGCATGTGCCTGTAGTCCCAGCTACTCAGAATGCTGAGGCAGGAGAATCGCTTGAACCCAGGAGGTGGAGATTGCAGTGAGCTGAGATTGTGCCATTGCACTCCAGCCTGGGCAACAGGGTGAGACTCCATCTCAACAAACCAACCAATCAATCAATCAATCAATCAATAGTTTATCATTATGAAATTCTTAAAATGTAAGAGTATAATGTGCTAGTTAAAATTGTAACTGTTNAAAAAAAAAAAAAAAAAAAAAAAAAAAAGGGAAGGGAAATTAGCTGGGATTAGCTGGGATATACATATGATGAATAGAAATCGGGCAACAGAAGTAGAGGAGGAAGACTACGTTAGACACAAGAAACTGCATGTGCAAAGGCCAAAGCATTAGAGTATTTGAATATAGGAAATAATTTTGGTAAGACTGAAAGAATGTCACTTGGTCAATGTCCACAGGAAGGAATTCGCAAAGTGGCAACACTGTATCAGTTAAGAACTAAATTTTATCCTAAGGATTAAAAGGACTTATTAAATAATTTTAAGCAAGAATTGGCATGATTAAAATAAATGCTGATTTCAGCACTGCTGTTTTTTAAAGCATTTTTAGTAACATGTAGTGGTGGATAGAGTGGATTGCTCTTATGGAATTTTGAGAGATAATTGTTCTCACCTTCTTTCAAAAATGTGGCCTTCAGTGCTTTTTACATTAGGAGTTTGATATTTTCATGGTAGAAGTACTTACAGTACAAAAATCAGCAAGAGCTACACATGAGGACTCCTCGTCTTCATCCTCAGCATACACATACCTGAAAGTAACAGTTGGTAAACATTTACCAGCATGCTACTGGGAATACATGATATATTTATTTAGAAACTCTCAATGGGTCTCTAATAATACTTAATTCATCTAGTTTAGGTTTGACTTTTAGAAACAATTTGTAGGAAATTGATCAAGGATTAAGTTGCATGGTACTATTTTGGCTTAAGGACAAACTTAAAGTACTAAAGTAATGTGCTGAGATTACATCTTCTTGTATTATTTTGTGCCTCTTGGATAGAATAAGCATTGTGATGTGCAAAGCTTGTTGTTTCCACAGTCACATCTTCTGGGAACCAGATGCAAGTAAGCTGAATGAGAATTACTGCCGGAATCCAGATGATGATGCTCATGGACCCTGGTGCTACACGGGAAATCCACTCATTCCTTGGGATTATTGCCCCATTTCTCGTTGTAAGTACAATTAGAGGTCTTTGTCATATGAAATATTTTAAATATACTGCATTTCATTTAAAAGTTGTAAGTAATATAGGCGGTCTGGCATTGATTCCCAACTGAGGAGACTTTAAAGAGAAAACCATACAAAGATGCACACAACACACATGCAAACACACCACATGTTCTCTCTCTCTCTCTCTCCATGTCTCTTATAGATAAGAAGATATTCTAACATTTTAAAGGAGATTCTCTTCCCCCAGAAGATTTCCATTTGGATTCCAAAAGCAATAATTGACCACACTTCTGATATGACTGGGCTAGAAAGATCTCCCCATTCCCCAACACCAATACTACCTGTTCAGCTTCTGAATATAGCAGAGCTCTCAGCAAAGTTCCATAAGCAGACCTGAACTGGTGGTACTTTTATTTCCCTCTCAGTTCTTTAACTTAAGACTGAAGAAAAACCTGGAGTTTTCCACCCAGTTATTTGATTCCCAAGATGGCTCTATTAAAAGGGTATTGTTGCATAAAATAAAAGTTATATAAAAAAACATGTAATATGTGTTTGATATAGTTCATATAAAATACATGTCTAGTATAATTCATATTATAAAGTTTCTATATAGCAATAAGAAAAAGATGTGAGAACTCAGGAGAAAAAGAAAGAAAATAAATCTTCAAGAATATAGCTAATAAAAAAATGAAAAGACATGAAAACTTATTAGTAGGAAACATTTTTTAAAGCCTGAGAAGTCACTTCAACCTGTCTGGTTGGCAAATAAAATGATTGTAATAAATATCTAATATTAGTGAGGACCTGGGTAATCAGGGTGTCTCAATTCTATGCTCCTTCGAGTGTGAATTCGAAATCCTGCTGGGAAGTCAGTTTGATAAAATGTATAAAAAGCAGTAATAAAGTTGATATAGATCAGGATTTTTGAGCCTCCGTACACTGACATTTTGGGCCAGATGCTGCTCTGTGCTTGCAGCATACTCAGTAGTGTTCCTGGACTCTATCCACTAGATGCCAGTAGCATGACACCTGCCCCAAGTTGTGACAATCAAAACTATCTCTAGACATTGCCAGTGTCCCCTGGAGGGCAAAATCATTTCCACTGGTAACCACTGATGTAGAGTAATATGTATTGAGATGGCACTATGTCTTTAACATGTTATTGAGTGAAAAAGCCTTTTTATAAAGCTGTGTCAGTAGACAGAGACCATTTTACTACACCATGCATCTGTAACTCCATGTTTACAAAAAATATCATTTACCACAACATTAAACCACCTTCTCTTTAGAAAGGAAATACTTTCGTAAGTTCTATAAAAACTTTGTTTTAAGAATGTTTTTTGTTAGAGAAGCCAGTAGTAGCAAGTACCTTGAGAATAGCAGCAAAAATATCTACTATAAAAAGAGAGATTAAATTGAAGAAATGATAATGTTCCTTCAAAAAAGTGAAATACAAACACAAGTCTATGTTTTCCAGAATTTATGTAAATTAAAGAGGTAAAGTTCACCTTAAATGGAAACAGCCATTAGGTTTTATGAAATTCTAGCATTAAAGGCAAACTTAAAATATGTTAATCAAGTCTACCTATAATTAAGACTTGTAGCTGCTCCATCTATTTTTAATAGTTTCACAAATTCTCTATAAGAATAAATAACTAAATATATGTTTGCAAATAAATGGTATTTCTAATAAGAATATTTTCATTTTATCAACCATGATCATAGCCTTTCAAATTAATTTGTTTTCCTAATATTCTTCACTTTTCTATATTAAAGTTTGCACAGGCCCTGAAAATATTCTGCCAGGAAGGACACCTTTCAAATGTTAATACTAAAAGAAACACACCTACCCTTTCAGACAGTGCCATATAAAAATATTTTTAAATGATTAAAAGATTATTATTTTTCTAAGTACTAGTTTTATAACACAAGGTTTTTGTTAAGCCTCTGTTTAATGGAGGCTCATCGAATATAGGAAGAAGGAAAAAGACAATTATCTTTCTTCTAAAACATGTTATTTTGCTTCCTCTACGGATTTCCAGATATTTTAAAATCACAGCAGCTTGATCTAGCACATATGCATGGTTAAGAGTGAAATGGTCCTGTAGAATCTCAAGGCACTGTGTTTTGGTTTATAATCACAAACTAAGGGAGCCAGGACTCTAATAATTTAGAAGTTTTCCAAAAATTTTTTCAACTAATATTTTTAAACTAAAAGTAATGTGCTGTTGAAAGACTTGAGGGTGTTACTAGTATTTGATTAAATGCTATTGCAGATAAATCATTTTATTTCAATGTATACCAAACATTAATTTCAATAAAGACTTTTACACGGTCATTTTTCTAACTAATATTTATAGCCAGGATTTATTTACATTTTCTCCCTGGTGAAAGGGTAATAATATTTATCTTTAGAAGATTTGAGTTCTTATTATTTATATAACTGCAGAGACTGTATAAATCATTTTCACACTGTACAGTTCTCTTACAAAACTTGTAAAGGTTTTTATTCATTTTTTCCTAACATGCTTACAAAATAATATTGTATATATTTTTAAGTTTATAAAATATGCAAAAATAAAAATGTAGAGGTTCCTATATGACTGACTATACACAGACATACTTAGTATACTATTTTAGAAAAATCTTAACCACCAAGAGTGTCATGGTTAAGAACTTGAATCCAGACTTGCTAAGAATGCCAGATCCATCATTTTGTAAGTACCTTGGGCAAGTTACTAAACCCACTTAGGATTCATAGTATTTGCAATATTTTATAGTAAAAGATTCTAGTATATGGGGCTATGGTGAACAGTGTCTGTTGCCTAGTTAACAGTCAAAACCTTAACTTCCATCTCTATTTTTTATGTATTCATTCATTATTGTTTATTGAGCTGCTATTGTGTACAAAGCCATATATAACATGCTAGGTTTATAAAAATATTAATACTGCTTCTTAATTTCAAATAGTTGATGGTATATAAAGGAGACATTTGTGTAAACAATTACAAAGCAATATAATCATGTAATGTGTATATATGAACAATATATAAAATGAGAATATGAACATAGATTTCTTCATGGAGAAATATGTGATGTTCATGAAGTTTTGAAATTGAGTTAAAACATTAAGAAGAGTAGGAGAAAGTTTTCTTTATGTTTTCAGGAAGAGTCCATGTTTGGTTCTGAGGACACACACACACACACACACACACACACACACACACACCCCTACTCTTCCATGCGTAAAACTTTTATCACTGACGTGTTTTCTTCAAATTTAAGTTGAACCAATACAAAATAGTTATTGTATCACATTTTTTTTAGACATGAGTCTGAAAGTAGTGTGGTATAGATAGTGGTAAAAGTAAAGGAAGAAAAGTGAGAATAGTATTTGATAGTGAAATGGAAAAGGCCTAGAAAACGGTTTTTCAAGTTTTATTCCAGGCACACAACAAAAGAACCTAGAATGCTTTATAAAAATGAAGAGTCCAGCCACCAGCCCAGAATCTCCAGAAATTTAATTTTAAATGGTATTTTGGTTTATGCTAAAGTGTGAGAAATACTGGATTAGAGAAAGCAAAACATATACATTACTATTAATTATTAAAACCCAAAATGTATAGTATCTACAAATTTTTAAAACTAAATATGTTGGTAAGATACAAGAGTTAAGTAAGCACTTTGTTGATCTATTAGCTTAATGCTTAGAAATAAGAGACTTAATATGCAAGTAAAGCTAGAACAAATAACCCAGTCTTTCTCATTACAAAATAAAACATGAATATCTACTTATTTACTTTAACATTTTCAAGTATTTGACTTATGTGGAAAAACAATATCCCTGATGTTTTAGTTACCATAGTCTGCCTCAATCTTAACTCATATTTAAAAACTAAAACACTGACCTCAGCTGACTGACAAGCCCTCCTCTAGGATAAGCTACGGGGAAAGAGAAATGATGAATTTTGTATGTTCACCATTACCCCATTCATTTAAAATATCTAGATCTGGAAAATGAACATAAATAAGTATAAATTAATTCTCACAATTGTCCTTATAAATAACAATCACATTGGCATCCATTTCAAAGGAATCCATATGCATTATTGCTTTGTTTCTGGCTTATTTGAGCTCAGGGCATTTCCAGGGATTAACAACCATCTGGGTCTAAATAGTGCCTGACTGAACTCTATGCCATCAATTCTGAATACTCAGACATTAAGCTCCAGGAAATGTCTTGTGTCTCATTCATTACAGCGTAAGTATTTCAAAATCCTTGCATCTTCCAAGCATCTCTCTTGTTTTGTGGCAATTAAGCCCCAGTAGAGATGAAAAAGTAGTAAGCTACAGGTTTTAATTGTAATTAATTTGTAGTTTTCAGTGTTCTTTTTTTTCCATACTTTTTTTAACTAGCATCTGGAAAAATCAATCCTTGAAATATTCAAACAACAAAGCATAATTATATTTTGTTATTCCTCTTTTTCCATTAGTGACATTGGATTCTATCTTCTAGAATCCTTGCAGAGATGTATGAAGTTTGTATAGTTGCAATTATTCTTATCATACAAAAATAAAAGTTTTCAGAAAAAAATTTAAATGATTCAAATTACAGAAGCAAAATGGCCTATCTATATGAAGAGTCCAAGTAGACAATAATGAACACGAGTCCTATTCAATGGAATGAATGTCCATGGTGTAGTATGTTGGACAACTTTGTGGATCCAGACAGCTCCTTGATGCCAGCAGTGTAATTCAAGTGGCCAATGATCCTCGCAACACACACCTGAGAGCCCCCACAGTCATAAAATAGGGCTCTGTTCATATCGCCTAGTACTAGTGGGCCTATACTTACAATATTATCCAGTAAAAGTGATGCATAATTACTCAAAAGAGCTTACATTTTATCTCTGAATAAAATATCAAGAATTTTACTAAACTGGCCAGGCATGGTGACTCATGCCTATAATCCTAGCACTTTGTGAGGCAGGTGGATCATTTGAGGTCAGGAGTTTGAGACCAGCCTGGCCAACTGGTAAAACCCCGTCTTTACTAAAAATACAAAAAGTAGCTGGGTGTGGTAGTGTGCACTTGTGGTCCCACCTATTTGGGAGGCTGAGTCAGGAGAATCACTTGAACTCGAGAGGGGGAGGTTGCAGTGCGCTGAGGTAGAGCCACTAGACTCCAGTCTGGGTGACAGAATGAGGCTCTGACTCAAAAAAAAAAAAAAAAGAATTTTAGTAAATTATTGAATTCATTGATACTTGGATTTTAATATATAGTTGGCTTTATATAACAGAAATATGCATGTATGAATTATGTATTTATGTATACATTTATTTTTACAGGTGAAGGTGATACCACGCCTACAATAGTCAATTTAGACCGTAAGTAATCTTTCACAATATGAAGTATATTCTGAGTCTCTCTTTGTATGTCAGAAATGATGTCATTATGTCCTTCATAGAAAATTATCTGTATTAGCTTTCATTATAAGAAGAAGCTATTCTATTTATTTTTACTTTTTAAAATACATTTTTCTATGCATAGCTGTAAAGGCGTTTCAAAGTCAACTACCTACTGAATATGAAAATTCAATTTTCTTGCCAAAAATCTGTAAGATGGTATATGTGATTTTGAAAAGAAAGTTTATATTTATTTGCGGCACAATGCGTATAATGGACCACCTTTATATATACCATGCTTTAATAAAATTAGGATGCTGGAGTCAGGAAGGATAAAACCCGAAAGTTGGAAAGTTATTCAGTGCCTCTATTCTACTCTATCTGTAAACTTCTCTGCATGCCCTGCAGTCCACTGGGCACAAGATGACACAGTCTGAGATACTCAGATAATCCTCAGTTTAAGAATCTGTTGGGAGGCACTTCCATTTTATTTTCACATATTTCTTGAGCTGAAGGAAGTTACTCAAGTGTTTTTGATTTAAAATACCACCTGCTGTGCCCCAGGCTCAGGAAGCAAATGGAAATCTATTCTAGACCATGGGCAGAAGTAGAGAGGATAAGGCGAGGAGCATAGAGGAGTGTGAGGAAAACATTTACTTCAATGAATTCTAGATTATGTCTTTGGGCATAATTGCTTGCATATGATAATTATATCATTTGGATATGATTTCAAAAAATCAAATGTTTGTAAGACATATCAGGTAAATCTACAATCTGTGCAAATTCAGAAGTAATAACCAAGTAAAGCTTGGTTTTATTTTTTTCACTGAAGCTATTGATTTCTACTGACCTTTAGAAATAACCATTGTAAATAAGTTTGGTTCATTTTATGTCGAGGCTGGTGAGGACAATATAACATTAGTGTTGACCGGAGGAAGTTGGTAATTAGTGCATTGTGAGCAAAGCCACTGTCGCCAACATGGCAACCCAGTCTGCTTTGAGTTGATTTGTTTTTCTGTTACTCAACTTCTTAGATGAGGATGACAAGTGTTAGGGGCTTACTATAATACTGCAGTCATATAAAACTACTCTTGTTCCAAACTGTTCTTTTGACACAATAAGAATAGTTTCATTTGTCTAATTATCATTGCATTTAAGAAAACTAAGAGGCACTCATTATTTCAAATTGTTATTTTAAAATGCTATGTTTGGTCCTCTTTTAGATCCTGTAATATCTTGTGCCAAAACGAAACAATTGAGAGTTGTAAATGGGATTCCAACACGAACAAATGTAGGATGGATGGTTAGTTTGAAATACAGGTAATTACTAATAGATGCAAACCATGCATATCCAGATTATGTGCAAAAGTCATATTCCCAGAATTATGGACACATGTGGTTATGAAGGTTGTATCCTCTCCAGGGCACTTGGTGAGGCAGTAAAAGAGGAGCCTGATTACATTCTGCTTGCCAAACTGTAAGCTCTGGACTACAATTTCTGCTTCCAGAGGTAGTGCCTTTTGAAATCTTCACAAAGGTCCCATATGTGTTGGCATTGTCCCTGATTCCAAGAGACACTTTGGTTCTGATTAAGCAAAAAAAAACAGAGGACCTATTGAAAACCTTAATATTACCATAGTATTTATGATACTTGTTATTAAATTTCTAATCTAGGACACTATGGGTTTATTTTCTAACATGTTTATGCATGATTATATCAACACATTTATATTTGTTTTTAATTTCTGACTTTTTACTTGTCTATCAAATAAAAAGGGCAATTTTAAATTCTAGAGTATTTTATCATTACAAAAAAATGCCAAGAGTTAAATAGTCTTGATATTACAATAATCAGTGGAGATACAAAATTATTGATATGTCTATTTCTCAATGCTCTTAGGACACTTAGGAGTCAATGAGATGTCCTCCATAAAATCACTTTGCAAATCATATTGTGAGAGAAAATTAAGCTTAGTAATTATATCATAAGAATTAAATATTGAAAATATAAGTTAACTTAAAATCTGATCTTACTACTTTCATATACTACATATATTATTCTTTATGTTATTTGGAATGCTGAAATATTTATGTCTTTGGCTATCCCTATCAGAACCTCGCCATGCAGGAAACCCCAAGATACATTTGAATTTGAGCCACATTGTCTTGTTTTCTAGATACCTCATGTTTTTTCCTCCAAACCTTTATGCAGTTGTTCCCAACATACATTGTGGCTTTTTTCCTCCATGTTTTATGCCTGAATAGTCTTTCCTGTTCTTCAAATCTCAACCTAAATATCCCTTTTTAGAACACCCTAATGTTCCTTCACCCCTAGCCTCCTAGAATAAAGAAAAAGAAAGTATATCTGTTACTATTATTAAATCACAGTTACATTAGAATAGAGACAACTTGAAATGGAAGTCCTTTTATGAATAAACAAATTCTTGGAAAAAAAGAGGTTATAGCCTTTGCTATATGTGACTTTAGATGACCATAATGTCATAGGAGATGGCTTAAAGTTCTTTTTTAGTATACCCTTTTCTCTGAGAAAATACCAAAAAAAAAGTATACCCTTTTCTCAAGGAATAGCTCATCAGATTTCATAAATATTTATGCCAATAATTGTAGTATAGCTGTCCTAGGTGTGTAGGACTAAAACAGAATTGTCAAAGTAACCAGAATATTAAAGTTGAGTGTGCAGTACGAGAATTTAATAAAGACTTTAGAATTGTATTAGAGCGTTTAATTTTCTTAATCATAGAAAATCTTTCAAGAGGCTGGATGTGGTGACTCATGGCTGTAAGAAGCCCTTTGGTAGACTGAGGCAGGTGGATCACCTGAGGTCAGGAGTCTGAGACCAGCCTGGCCAACATGGTGAAACCCCATCTCTACTAAAAAAAAAAAAAATTTAGCTGGGTGTGGCTGTGGGTACCTGTAATCCCAGCTACTCAAGGAAGCTGAGGCAGAAAAATTGTTTGAACCTGGGAGGCAGAGGTTGCAGTGAGCTGAGATCACCCCATTACACTCCAGCCTGGGCAAACAAGAGGGAGACTCCATCTCAAAAAACAAACAAGAAAGAAAAGAAAAGAAAGACTGGAAAGAAGGAAGGGAGGGAGGGAGGGAAAAGGAAATCTTTCAATAATCCACATTTGAGATAATTGGTGATTCTTTGCTTATCTTATAACCCCAGAGAATAAAAGAAGACATATACTAATACATGTAAATTATATTTTCCAGTAAGAAAATTCACAAGGATACTGCTTTGGTCATCTCCATTTTTGGAGAAGCAGGTGAAGCCATTTTTCCATCAGATCAGAGTACTATAAATTTTTTGAAGTTTTTTTTCCTTTTAAAATCCAAGTTTTTAGCAACAACATCTGCTTAGTTATTCTTCCAAAACTCATACTGAGAAGGAGAGAAATTAAAAGTCAGTATATATTCTTATCCTCCTGTGTGGTAAAAGCCATAAATAACTATGGTCTCAGTCTGGGAATCTTCTAGTACTACCCTCTGAAGTACTGAACATCTGTACTCTTTGGAAATGTAAATTGTGAAAAGTTGTACTTTTTCCATGTCTCTCCCTAAAAAGAATGGATTTAAGATTTTGGATATCAGCAAACGAATGTACCAGCACTCACCATTCTCTACAAACATTTTACAATTTCCTAAATGATCTGCCTTGCAAAATTGTTTTACTTTAGACATGAAATATTATATTGCTGTTCTTATGCTGAAGAAAGAAATTTATTCAGTTATATTTTAAGTTAATATATCGAAACTATATAATGGTAGTAGAAGAAGGAAATAGTGTACAAATAAAATTGCTACCACTGGATGTTTTCAGAGTTCAAATAGGAACTCAGCTTTGCATTTCTCATAAGCAAACACCGAATTTAAAATAAGTTCACATTTTTAAAAATTCTAATTATCCTGTATTTGTAGCACATACTTTCACAAGGATAGATGCACATACACACGAATGGGGATGGCTATTGATGTGTAATAACTGAGCTCTTTAGACTACACAAAAGTAAAATTGATTTTATAAATTTGTAGTCCCATTATGAAAAAATGTCCTAATTCTACAATCATCAAATATCACCCGTCAGATAAAAGAACTTCTCATTTTATTCCAGTTGGATTAATTTCTATATTTTCCTCTGCAGTGCATTTATTCTTAATAAATGGAGCCACAGGCTTTGCATTAATTGGCAGTCACTCTTTCTGCACAGATGTTGTTTCTCTTTCCTCTTTTTTACAGAAATAAACATATCTGCGGAGGATCACTGATAAAGGAAAGTTGGGTTCTTACTGCACGACAGTGTTTCCCTTCTCGGTAATGTGTTTTTTGAAACTAGTATTATTTTTAGGCTTTAAAATTGATATGTCTTCCACTTTGCTCTTAAGGTTATAATTGTATTCATTTTATAGAGATTTACCAGTGGGGTGAACAAATTATTTTATTTTTAGAATTTGGCTTACAAACTTACTTTGACTTCGCTGATATTTACTTACAAGACACTACTTCAGTTCACCTATTTTCACAATTAGCATTACTCTCAGTTGGGGGAAAATTTTGCTAGAATTATGTAAATGTTTTATATCCCAACTTTCTACTTGTACCCTATATTTCTAGATATAATTTCCTTTTTTTCTAAATTATCAACAGGCTTATTTTAATCCTCACTTCTTTTTCCTGTAGAGTCAGACTCAGGATCATCCTAAGCATAATTTTCAATGAAAATTAGCCTGAGGAAAAGATAAAGAGGCAACATTCCTAAACTTCCTTCCTGCTTCTCAGCCAAGTCACTTTGATTTTGTTTGTAGAAAAACATCAACCCTTATTACCAAACCAAATATATACACAGCTGACATAAACAAAGCAAAATTTGCAGAAAAAAAATATAATTCATGTAAAGTGCTTTACCTGAGCATTTTTCACAAGTGACTTACTCTAGCAAGCATAAGCAAGTTTCTAAAATAGTCATTTAGAATCTCAGCAATTTAAAGCCTCCTTCTGCTTATGTATGTTTGTAGTATTCAGAATATCCCATAACAAATAGGTTGCTCTTTATTGGACTTTGAATTGAATTTTAAATTAAGGTTATGAGCCTTAATAGTCTAAAATAACAATACATAGAAATAATACTATACAATTTGGAATTATTATATTTTACATTTAAAGCTTTATCCTTCAAAACAGAGACTTGAAAGATTATGAAGCTTGGCTTGGAATTCATGATGTCCATGGAAGAGGAGATGAGAAACGCAAACAGGTTCTAAATGTTTCCCAGCTGGTATATGGGCCTGAAGGATCAGATCTGGTTTTACTGAAGCTTGCCAGGTTAGTTACTTTAGATTTTGTATTTTTCACCTGGACTAGAATTGTTGGAGCATTTTCTTCAGCTGTGTGGCAATTCTTTCTCTCTCACACAGATGCATTATAAAAGCATATGTCACCATGCTCTATATATGCTTACATGTGTGCTTACAGATCTCGCTGTATAGAGAGACAGGCCTTTGCAAAACTGTAAGAAATGAATAACTAACATTGGCCCCACAGTCTGATCAGTTTGTTTTAAAATGGAAACTTAGCAGTTATAACTTTCAAATGTAAAATAATTCATTTAAAAAATAGCATCAACCATTTATTCTTAAATATTGGCAAATATATGACTCATTTCTTTACTACCTATTCCAAATTTCATCATTATATTTGGACATTCCCATCTTTTTTTTTTTTTTTTTTTTTTT